AGGACAGAAATCTGAGGGGGGCAGGATGTTGGCTGGACATCCCCTGGCCAGACCAAACCTCTCAGCACCCCCTCAGGCCACTGTCCCACCCAGCCCATTCCCCTTGTCCAGCACTCCAGTTCTGGGGACCCCTGACGGACACCCCAGACACAGTCAAACCCCCTCAGTGAGCGTGGAGGTCCCACTCACCATCCTCTTCTTCAGGCTCTGCTTGGGGTGGGCCCTTCTCGCTGTCTGAGTCCTCTTCCTCTTCCTGTAATACAAGGGCAGGTTCAGCGCCCTCTGCAGAGCGTGGGTGCTAGCTAATGCTTAAGCCTCGGATGTTTGAAGGCTCATAGGAGCAAACTGACATCTGGGCCTCCTCTCAGGACAGATGTGAGCCTGAGGGTGGGGGTCAGGTGGGAGACAGGGAAGTGGTAGACGGGCAGAAGGTAGAGGACGGGGGGCGGGGGGAGCCTCAAGAGTCCAGCCTGTTCTTCCCTGAAGTAGCACCTGCTCCCTGGTGATGGTCAACCCATCAGCGGGGGCTGTGATGGCAGCACAATCATCAGTGGGCCAAGGTGGGAGGCTCTGGGCTAAGGAACCCTGTTACTTCACCTATGCACCGCAAGCTGTGACCTTGACCTTCCTTAGGTGGGGAAGCATTTGGATCCCTTTTTGCTAAGAGAGCCTGGGCCTGCCCCCCACTGCAGGGAGTAGACAAAGGGCCCAGGAGAAATGCGGGCTGGATTATCAGGGACTGGGCCAGCGACTGCAGGCTCCCTCTCTGCTTCTTCCTACGTTGTTTTCCATCCCTAACATCTCAGTGTCCACTTTCCCAAAACTGCAGCTCCACCTCTGCCGCCCCAGTTCTCTCCCACGCACAGACACGATAAACAGATGGCCGGGGGACACCCGGGCGGTCTCAGTGGAAGGAAGGGGGAGTGACTTCAACTCGCAGGAATGTTAGGGCATGACAGGGATGTGCCGATGGGCTCCAGCTCTGTGGGACAGAAGGACGGAGGAGGGGACATGGGACCCCAGCATCTGATACTTGGGAGCCCAGCGGGCAAGTCGCCTGGCCATGAAGGAGCCACAGGAGAGGCTGAACCCATGGGGTCCAGCCAGTGTTGGCAGTGTGGGCTGAGGCTCCTGAATGAAGCAGCAAGCTGAGCTGGGAGGCAAAGTTTCCATAAGCCCCAGGCGGGTCAGAATTGGCAAAGCTGGAGTGGCCTTGAGCTCCTCAGAGTGACCTTTCCCAGGCCAGGCACTAGGTGCCTGCTGGGGCGGCTCTTCCCCACTTAGCAGTTTACACTCACTGCTGTCTACAAGGTAAACAACACTACATGGGCTTGGGTGTCGGGACATCTCCCAAATTTTGTACAGCAATGAAAGTACTTTTGTGGCTGAGGAGGATAGGCAGGAAACAGAGACCCCACATTCATGCAGCATGAGCTCCCATGGAGCTTCCAGGGATCTGCTCCAGACGGGGAAAAATGTCGACTGCGATTTGTACACAATGGCTCTGGTCCTGTGCAGCAGAAAACAGGACAGAACTCGAAACCACCAAATGTTTACCCATAGAGTTAAACATCTGATAACTAAATCTATTTGATTAAAATGTGCACCAACATTTTAACCAGTTCAATACATCACAGAGCACACACACAATGCTCAATGCAACGCTGAGTTTAAAAAGGAGGTGTCGGCTCGGCGCCTATAGCTCAACCGGCTAAGGCGCCAGCCATGTACACCTAAGGTGGCGAGTTCGAATCCCCAGCCCGGACCCGCCAAAACAACAATGATGGCTGCAACCAAAAAATAGCCAGGCGTTGTGACGGG